AAGTACACTGCTTTGCTTGGGGTAAACACAGACACTGAATCACATACTGTTAGTGTAGCTAAGCATCTTACCTAACTGTATTCCTGCCCTCCCCCACTCTATGTTCACTTTTCCCTTGTTATTAAGCTGAGAGGGAATGTCAGGACGTCTGTGCTGCCCTGCTTTGGTGTGCAGTGGAGGCAGAAGGTCAGTTATCCTCTGCTGTAGTTCTGCATTATTCAGAGTTAAAGTTTGCTTCCTCAGCTAATAGTAACCTTTGCAGAGTACCTGATGTAAGTGATCGGAATGAAGAAAATAGGAAGAAACAGTGTAATGTGAGAAAGACAGAAAAGGGGAAGAAATAACTAGAAATACAAAATGGAGAAGAGCTTTGAAACCCATTTTTGAAATAGGTAACATTCTCATTAATATAAAGAAGCTGCTTTTGGAGCAGTACAAAGATCTGATTTGTGTTAGATGAATAGAGAGTCAGTAAAATGTTTTCACTGCTCAGACCTATGCAGCGTTGTAGAACATGGACCAGGATGGGCACAAAGGGTTACAGATGACCCAGGGTAGCCAGATGTGATGTCTTATTCCCCTGTTAACATCATCATGCTTAAATGCTAGCTCTAAAATTAAGGAGGAAAATAGATTAATTATGTGATAGCTGAAAGTGAAAGGCTACTTTCTGGAAGTGATAGTACAGCTATATTTCTTGAGAAGAAATTTGCCAGAAACAAAAAGTGAAAAATAGTGCATGAAATGTTCTGTTATCAGTTTTATATTAAACAAGATGTTAAATTTAATTACAGAAGTTACCATCATGGGAACATTTATTCTTCAGCTAATACTAAGAAAGAGAAAGCTCTTGATGTAAAACACCTGAAAAAGCCTCTCAGATTTTGACAATATTTTAAGGTATTTCAGTGTTCTGTTTTTGTGGTCTTGATCAGCCTGTCAGTCCAAGTGAGCTGAATAATTGTTAAAACCAGTGGGACTCATGAATTTATGTGTACACATTATTCTGCATAGGTGTGTTTTGTATTCCTGTATAATTCATAGTCCTAAAACAACCCAGATACCAAAACACATTAGTGGACCTAACAATTAATTCCCGTCTCTTCTGGGAGATAAGATCATTTCTAGAGTCCATTCTCATGCTATTTTTTTTTTAAGTAGTAGTTCAAAAATTATCCTTGCTAGGCTATGAAGAATTAAACCAAAACTTTTGAGCAGTTTTGTCTGAGAAGTGTCCACAGAGAAGTCTCTCAGTTACAGTAAGACAGCAATGACCACTGAAGAAGGATTTGCATGCCTGAAACTTGGCTGCTTTTCAACTGTAATAGTTTTTTTGAAGTTAGAAATAATAATAATGATAAATTTGCTGCTGGTAACCCTGCTTCTGTAGCAACAGCAGTACATGTTTAAATATAGTTCTGATTTGTAACAACTTTGAATTGTTTTTTAATCTGTCTAAATTGGGTAAGAGCTTACTAAAACCAATCCAGATAAGTGTTTTCTTCCTACAGAACTTGTATTTTTTTTTTAAATTTCACTGGCTGTTCAGATGCTGGTAGCAGCCTTATGTGGTAAGGGGACATGGGAGCTTCCAGCATTTTGAGCACTGTGTTGATTTGTATCAGTTCCAAGCACAAAGAGAAATTTAATTTTTGTCTATGCCTTGTAACTCTGTTTATTCCAGGTGCTCCTAGTATTTCTGCACATATGGTCTTCTCATTCCTCATGGAAAAAAATAGCTCTTCTTCTGTCAGGGAGGAAAGATATAGTAATTGATGATAAAAAGGTTGCTTAGAGGCCACTTGTAATGCTTTTAAGTCCTAAAGAGTGATTTCTCAGAAATAGCAATGGTTGGATGAACATGCCAGGACTAAGACTACATACGTGGCACAGCAGCTGCCAGCAGCCTTTACTTCACTGGGCATCTCTCAGAAGGAATTATGCATGCCCATAGATGAACACACAGATGAATCCGGCATGTCCTTAGCTGCCTTTTTACTGTTTTATTGTACCACCACCCCATTACTCCCAATGACCACGTGCTTACTCTACTCCAGTCTCACAGGACTCTCTGTTGTAACAAGAAAGAGTAACCTACTCTTACAAAATAGCAGTTCCTTTGGTCTTCTGCACCTTTTCTGCAGCAAGGCAAAATGCTGGCAGCCTTCTCCAGTACCTCTTCTGAAGGTGCTTGGAAGTTACTTTCCCTTCAGTTCTTTCAAAGCTTCAGTGAGAAGTAGATGTCTCAGAGCACAGTCTTTCAGGTTACTCATCTCAGTGGGGAATTGGCCTTTGTATTGGAAGATATAGAAAAGCAATTAGTGCTCAAAGGCTGGGCTGCTAAACCAAAATATCTGCTATCAACTGCGTAGTAGGCATCCAGGCAGGACTGTCCTGCTCTGCAGAACCTCCTTAGACTGAGACCAGTGTCGTGTAAACACATTTCTAGAGGGCTGTCTGTATAAGCACTGTTATCTTGGTCCCATCCTGTACCAGCCAAACCTCTACAGTCATAACTTGGCCACTTTAACTGCAGTGTCTGCTTCCAAATATACAGTTGTCAAGTGACAAATCTCAACACACTGCAGTTTCCCTGAATGCTAAAATGATTCCTTCTACATCACCTCCCACAGGATGGCTGGGCCTGGGCTGGCTTTTGTCATTACTATCTTCAGTCTCCTTTGGCCTTTGGGAGCTGCTGTCATTTATTTTCATGGTGAAGGTCCTGAGTCCACAGAGAGAACAACTGTGTTTTGTGCAAAAAAAAACTGCAAAACTTACTGTCATTTTATTTGCCAAGCAGATCTTAAGACTTTTACTAGTGGCAGTCATGTCTGGGTCTGAGCTCTTTGTCTCTCAGTCTTTGTAGCAGCAAAGTGAAGGGGCAATCTCTTCCTGCTTATCTCTGCAAAAGCCCAGGGGCATCAGTGTAAGCAGGTTTTTGACCCGTTGGCAATATCACCTGATTCTAAACACAGTATTTCTGAATCTCACTTTTGCATGAGGTTTTCAAACACCTGATGAATAATGCATATGAATAGAAAGAGCTTAAGAAATGCAGATAAAATTAAGCTAGCAGCTGCTAAATATTGTAGAAATCATTACATTCAGAAGTCATCTGCCATCTAGCCAGGATGCTTATACAATTTATGTATAATGGAAATGACATTTGGTTTAACCTTGTCACAGTATGATCAGTTTGTGTCTCTGAGCGCTCAACAATTTACACCATCTTTTGGCTGTGACATTTGCCTCAGTAAAATGCATTTAATGAACCAGCAGTGTGTAAAGATGTAATGTGTAGCTCAGATGGTGAAAATGTCTTCAAATTTGTAAAGAAATGATGTGACAGATGCACCAGTGTATGCTAAAACCTGAGATTTCTATTTTATAGATATATATGTCACGTATTCTTTTTTTCCAATCCAACAGCTTGCCAGTGCCTTTATTACTGACAGAACATAAAGCTGGTGAAGTCCTACAGATAGACTATTTTATATATTTTATACTTATAAACATAAATATGTATTTATTATATGTATATATACAGCATATATAGTATCATACCATGTATGATTTATTCTTATATAATACTATGTAGGGGTAAGGGATGAAAATAACTGGGCACAAGGGACTTACTTATTTCCTTGGGGTGGGATTTAATGATGGCTAGATCTAACAACCGTATTCTGAGTGAACAGGAGGTTGAAATGTAGATTTTAGGAATCATAGATGAAGATGGTTTGAGTAAAAGTACTTACTGTATTAAGTAAAAAAAGATATGAATTTATACTATTAAATTTGAAAATACTGACATATTTAGATGCAAACTGAATAAGTAGGAGGGGTTCAGTCTTTGATTCCCTACCTCACTGACAACCTAGGAAATAGAGCCTGAGAAATAAATTACATTAACTATGACCAGAGAAGCAAATGCTGAGTCCAAGCAGCACTGGCAGAATAACAGAGCAAGCAATCAGATAGACAGCAAAGCATTGATGTTGTGTACAGGTGGCAGTGGATGGGTGTAAGGCAGAAATCTGCAGTACTGATGGGCAGATCAGATCTGCAGTCACGATTTCTGGAGGTGAGCTGATGTCAGACAGGGGTGGGATGGGCATCCGTAAGGGACCAGAAACCTTTTGTCAATGTACTGCTGAGGCATTACTGCAACAGCCAGGTGTTGATGTACACAAAACCCAAAATGGAATGCAACACTTCTGAATAGCACACATAAAGTGATAAGGGGAAAGATGTGGAGAGTGGGATAGCAGAGAACTCTGTGGGACCTGTACAGCTGGAAAGATTGGGTAAGGAAAATATGGCACGAATTCTGTATCTAAAATAGAGCAAATTCTAAGGAATAATTGTCTTTTTCTGATTCTTTAGTTCAGAAAACTGCTTTATATAAGCAGCCAGGAGCCGGCCCGTACAACCCAGCAGCCTTGGCATTTACTTCTTTCCGGTTCACAACTTTTTCCTTCAGCCCCTTCTCTCTGGTGTCTATGCTGCGATGCTGCAGCCCCAGCAACGCGCAATGCCTGCCTCGGGCTGTCTCGGGAGCAGAGCGCTCAGGCCAGAGAAGAGGAGGCTTAGAAGATACGTTTAGACAGAGGCTCGTCTGCTTGAAATGAAAAAAAACCATCTCTCGAAGACCCGGGTCCTTGCGCGCTCCCCCGGGGTGCATTCCCCAGTGCCATTTGAGGCTGCTCAGCACCATAAATGCCATTTGCATCGGGATAGGTTGCAACAGGAGCTGTAAATCACTGACGGTGGAGCGAACACCTCCAGGGGCAGACACGGCGGAGCCGGGCCTCCTCGAGCTGTGGCAATGTGTGAACGGTATCTTTTGTTGAGGGGGGGACTGATGGCAATTAGATGATACTTATCTGGCTCTTTGATGTGTATTTATACAAACAACGTTTTCCTCCGGGACTTGAGGTATAAAGGAATCGTGCTTCCTCACACTCTCCTTCTCGGCAGCTCCAAAACGCAGCAGGATGACCAAGGCCCCTTTCTCTGTGGAGTGGCTGTCCCAGAGCAGCCAGGCCCCCAAAAGTCCCACCCAGGGCACCCCGCACCGAGCATCGCCTTCGCCTGCCGGCCGCCGACTCGCCTCAGGCTCCAGACCCGGACTGAGCGAACGGAGCAAGGAGAAGGGCGCCGGGAAAGGCGGCAGGAGCAGCAGGGAGCCTTCGGCAACACCCCCCGCTGCAGGTAACCGCGGCCACCGGCTCACTCTGGGATGAGAGGGCTACCTGAACTGTGTGCCTCTCCCTGGAGCCAAGGAAGGGATTGAGGCGGACAGGCATCCCTCGGCCCTGCCTGACCTTTTTTTCTTCCATCTCCAGGTGCAGCGGGGCAACCACCAGAGGAGCGGGGCCGCGAGTGCTCGTGCCCCGAGGAGCCCAGGGGCGGCCGGCGGCTGCGCACGGCTTTCAGCGCCGAGCAGATCAGCACCCTGGAGAGCTCCTTTCAGAGGCATCGCTACTTGGGCGCCGCCGAGCGCCGCAAGCTGGCGGGCAGGATGCGGCTCTCCGAGGTGCAGGTGAGCGCGGTGCGGGGAGCCGGGTTGGACGATGGGGCGGGACGTGGCTGATAGTCTAGAACGGGATCTTAATTCTTGCCCCGCTCTCTTTTCCCTCAGATCAAGACCTGGTTTCAGAACCGCCGAATGAAGCTCAAGAGGCAACTGCAAGAGTTGAGGCCGGAGCCTTTCTGCACTCCACCGCTCCCTTTCAGACCTCAGGTGTCCCTGCCAGTCACCTACATGGCCCGGCCGCCACCTCTACCCGGGCATGAGGCTGCCCCGGGGGGCTTTGCCTTGGCAGCGTTGCCAGCACCTGCCCTGGACATCAGCAGTGCCTGCAGAGCACAGCCTGTGGGCTTTTGGGCAGCACCCTGCTTTGTAGGATACAGGGATCCCAGGGCTTTCTTGCTGAGTGTCTGACCCGCTGGTATGGACCATGACTAAGGAGAATTTGCACTAATAATAACTATACGTGGGCTGCCCCTGCCTGCATCTGCCTGCTGGAGTTCTGGTGCAGAGCTGAGCAAGATACTGATCGGCGATCCAGATCATGGACTTCAGGCCAAGCTGCCCATCAAGTTCAAACATAGTGGGGTAAATGGTAGCATAAATGGAATCACCTAACAAACCTTAACATTTTTTCAGCTTTCATCTGAATTTGTCACAAGGATTGCAGAACTACTTATCCTGCCCTGAAAGAGCTCCTTCCCATTAAATGAAGCACAGTCCTTATTCTCTAGATCTGTCCTGGCCATAGTAGAGAAAGAATAATCTTTCTTGTGTTGTACCTTGCAATTTACTGAGGATACATACAAAAAGCATGAATTTCCCCCATTTCCTTATATGGTTGTCCAATCTCTCAGCTGCTTCCCGTATGGCACTTCAGGAGGGGGCTGTGCTTTTAGCAAGATATGTAGATATATCAGGAACTAGTTACCAGTATTTACTACTGGGCCCACAATGACAGCAGAATTTGTAATAGAGACCTTGAAATAGCACGTAGATACGCTTTTTAGGATATAAAAAGTGGCTTTCATATAAATATATGAAAATACCTCACCACAATTTCATGGGAGGCCTCAGTGGATTAACAAGGGCCTACTGCATAAAGCAGATCTTGGAAAGATCTTGAATCTTGGGATCCAGCCTTGCAACTTACTAGTGTCTCAGTATCTTGCATGTGCCTAATGGGGTATGAGGGTGATTATCAAAAGAAATGCAACATTTCAAAGCTATTTTTCTCTAAATGGCAGTAAAGTTTGTTACCATTGTGCTGTGCACTTTTTGTTTGAATAATACTCCTGATTTGATGTCTGAAGATTTTATTAAAATGGCCTGATTTCAGGCTAGAGAAAGGGCTATGAAAAATGATCTTTGATTATGTAAATTGTTATAAATCTTTCAAAGCTGATTGTGAGCTAACATGAAAACAGAAATAAACATTTCCATCACTTCAGAGTTGATCTCTTGAGTTATTAGAAGATTTCTGGTGCACTTGTAATGTGGGCTCTTATCTTGAATGGTCTGAAGGTTCTCTGCTAGTCATTCTTGAACACAAATATTTCATTTTTATACAGGGATCACTCTGTCATTTGATTACATCCACCTGGTTCAAAGTAACGTGTATGTGCCTCCAAAGGCCATAATCCTTGATTTGAGTAGCTCCCACATTTGGAAGTCTCCTCAATATTTTAATCCATGCTGCACTTATTTAGTCTTTTGAGGTTACTATTTGCTTACAGATGCACTGTTAATGTGGCTCTGATGCAAGGGTTTCAGAAAAGCAGTAAGGTGCTTTTAGTTGCTATCGATTTTGCTGAGGCTTTTTTAGGAAGATATTAGAGTTTAAGGAAATTTGTTGAGAGGAGAAAAAAAAAATCCAACTGAATGTTTATTTTTCAAATTCAAATATTATTAAATGACTGTATTGATTTGAAGGAAAAAAAAGGGAGAGAAATCTGAAATTCTATTGCTCTCTCAAATGTCACTGGGAAACTGAGATGTCTCCAAAATGTTCTTCAATTGAGCAGAGACATTTTAGAGATAGCAATACACTCAAGATCAGTAAGTATACAAGTTATCTGGAAAAAAGAAAAAGAGGCAAAACTCCATTCTTAAGGGGACAAATGTGGAGTGGTTAAGTGGTCTTTTAATCATGTTCAGCACAGGAGGAACCCAGACGGTTTGCGCACTCCTCGGAATGCCATCAGAACAGCTCCTGGTGCTGTCTTAGGGCACACAACCCTTGGGGTGAGTGGCTGGGGCTGCTGCAACGCTGGGGAACAGCCTGGCCCAAACCAAATGGGGCCTGGGGGGAGAGAGGGAGGTGAAAGGTCTCAAGGGAGAGAGAACAATATGCTTCCACCCGCAGAGGGGGGAGGCATTTCCTAAGGATCCGGATTGACTGGAGGTAGAGGGTGATGGGGGTGGGATGAGGTGGGATGAGATTTGAGGCCCTGCAAACCTGGCTTAACTGCACCCTTCCACACCCAAGCGTGGTTCTTTGGGGTAACTTTCCCCTCTGTGCAATGGCTTAGAATAGACCAGAGGCCAGCACAGTATGCGGTGCTGCAATTTAATCCTACTGGGGCTGTAGAGACAAACAGGGATGTGGAGCAGCCTCGGAGTAGAGGATGCTTGAGGAGTTGATGGACCTGAGTCCTGCAGTCACACAGGCAGGTCCTATTTGGCTTTCTGGGCTTGGTCTGGCTAGCAGGGGTAACCTGAGTGTATGAGCTGCAGAACTAACAGCGAGGGAAAAGCTGAGCTCTGGTCAGAAAGATGCTAATGATCACTAAACGTAATGATTCCTTGGCCACATATGTGCTCAACAAACACACACAAAGTCTTGCCCCCGTTTTGGCAGCCCCAGCTTGCAAATATTGTCCTATTCCCCAACAAAACTGCTTCAATGAACACGAAGGGTGATGCTCGTCTGACTGAGCGCATAAAGCTATCAGAAGATCCCTACAAACATACGTTAACACCTATTCTACCCGCAAAAATCTTCTTTCTCTAGAAACTAACATTCCAGTGATCTTAAAATACTACACTGGGCCTCTGTGCTGGCAGCCTCTGGCTGGAGGCAGAAAAAAAAAAAAAAAAAAAAAGGAACGTGGCAGAGCGCTCCAGCCCGGGCAGTGCACGGGCCGCTCGCCCCGGGGCCGGCGGCACTCACGGGCACAGCAGGGAACCCGCACTGCTCCACCAGAGCGAGCTCCTTCATTTCAACACCCCTTTTGTGTCTTTAATCGCATCACAGCCACCACCCGGACAGGAATGATGCCGGCGGGACAAAGCGCAGCCTGCGAGCCCCCCGCAAATGGCAGGGCCGGGTGGCTGAGTTGGGAAGGAGCATTTTGGTGCTGGCGGCTCTCGAGGAAGGGGCTGTATAACCTGAAAACGGGACTCCCTGGGGAGGAAAAAGGGATGGGAGGGTAGAACGCTGACTTCAAAGCCTTTCTCCCTGCAGTGTGTGCGCAACTTGATTGAATTAGCGCCGCGGTAATGGCAGGGAGCCGGCTGCAGCCCGTGCGTTAACGCCTGTCCCAATTTGGCGAGAGCAACCAACAGGGGAACGGCTGGGAATAGGGCCGGCTGCCCCCCCGCAGCGCCCAGACACGGTGGAGCCACCGGCGGCACCTGTTAACGAACCAGGTGAAGTGATTCGGAGCTGTGTGCTAATCGGGAGGGATCTCGCACAGCCAGGCCATTATGTCTAATTGCGGCCCATTATCTCTTTCTTTGATACGTAATTAGACGCCAATTAACTTGATAAATCCAACCGAAACGAGGGGGGAGAGAAAGAGGAGAAATCTTTTAGTCTCAGTTCATTTTGTTGAAAGGTTTTGCCTCTTACTTTGTATAACTGTTCACTAATTTTTTAAGCCCTGACCTAATGTTGTTCTGTAAAGGCGTTTGGTAGGGAACTGATCTCGGCAGATGATTGGAATTCGGGAAGTGAGGTGTTTAAGTTCCCATTTCAGCTCTCAGTTACTCTTCCTGGGCAATCGCGAACAGCTGCGGAGGTGTCACCGATCCCCAGGCAGGGCGGGATGGCGTGCGTGGGAATTGGGCTCCTGCTCCGGTTTGCACTGAGGCCATCTCGGCGCTTTGTCCCTCCGTTGCGCAAAGAGCTGAATGGGAATTCCGTGATAAATCGCTTTTAATGCAAAGCGCGCGTTTGGTCCCACAGTGCTGAATGAGAATAGCTGCGGCGTGTGAGCCGAGAGGGCGCAGCGCTCCGGGTGAGTCAGAGCATTTGTTATTTATGGTGTGTTGGCCCTCATTGTTCCCGTGGGCAAAGGAGCGCCTGGTGATGGCCCTGTTAGTGTTCACGGCTACTTCAAACAGAAAGCATCCATTCTGAAACAATCGATCTCGTTGATGCCTAATTGGCTATCTAATAGCACCTATCAGGACATCAAAGGGCGCGCTGGATAACCTAATTAGCATTTCCAAAGGGGAGCAGTGAAGGATACAAACAGTGATCAGCGGTCTCACCGCCCCCCGAGCCCTGAGCCCCGCCGAGCGCTGGTGGCCGCGTCCCTTCCCTTAAGAGGCTGGAAGGGCTCCCGCTGCCTTGTGCTTTCACCTACGTACTTGGCCATTTAAGCTAGAAATTATTTTGCTTGAGATGGTCTACTTTTTTTTTTTTTTTTTTTTTTTTTTTTTTTTTTTTTTTTTTTTTTTTTTTTTTTTTTTTTTCCCTGATTTCTGGCCATAGTTTCTTATGCTGTTGCGTAAAAGTAGGGGGTAGAGAAAATATGTTAATAACTTGGTGCAGCAGCGCTGTTCTTGGAGAATACAAGTGCTTCAGCGTCTAGTAGCAGCTCCAGGTAGACGAGAGAGAGGCCTTTCAGTATCTAAAGGGGAACTATAAGGAAGAAGGGGACAAACTCTAGCGAGATCAGCTGTGATGGAATAAAGGGAAATAGTATCAAACTAAAAAAGGGGAGATTTATATTGGATATAAGAAACTTTCTACAGTAAGAATGGTGAGACACCAGCACAGGTTGCCTAGAGAGGTGGTGGGTGCCCCATCCATGGAGGCATGCAAGGTCAGGCTGGGTGGGGGCTCTGAGCAGCTGATAGAGCTGTAGATGTCCCTCCTCACTGCAGGGCAGTTAGACCTGGTGGTTTTTAAGGGTCCCTTCCAATTCAAATGATTCTATGAATCTAGTGTAGTGTGAGTCTCTAGAACCTGGTACAGGGGAAGTGCCAGCAACTGGTTTTTTTTTTGATAGCAGAAAGAACTCCAGTGAAAATCTAAATCTATCAAAATCTAAGGTGATACAAACAAAACAAAATGGATCAGGAAAGAAACAAAGTCCCCTCTAAGTGCCATATTTCTGTAGGAGGTGAGGAGGGGATTTCACTCTACCCTCCCAGAATCATCAAAGTTCCTACGTTTCTCAAGTCGGCACCTCTTCCTGGTGGGAGCTGCAACAGTCCCATGACACTTCCTACCCATTTCCCATCTGTTCTGAGGTTTTGTGGTCCACAGATGTGGCTATCACCTCCCCCGGGGTGGGGGCAGAGAATCCTAGGGAGTTAAACATCTAATTTAATAGACAATTCTAATTAAATAATAAAAGAAAAGGTCTCAGATTTCACAAACTTTTAGAAAACAAGTCAACTGCTTCCCTTCCCCACACCCCCAAATGACATAAGGTGCCATAAGATCTGTTCAGGTGTGGCACTGATCCAAGTCTCGTGTATGGCTTAGTTCTGGCGGTGGGGATGAAGAGTCTCTCCCCAATACCTGCACACTGCTTTGTGCCCATAGGGGGGTAATTCTAGGTATGGGGGCTCTTGGGTTTGATACAAGTTTTGTCCTGCTGGAGAACCACTGGAGATACCTGTTGGTATCTGCTGAACACCAGCAGTTTCTGGGTGCTACAGCATTTGGTCTTGGTGAGGCAGTTGGACCCTGCAGTTACTTGCAATGAAAAACTATGCATGAACCTGTGGGATGAAGCCTGAGCTCCTTGGATGGGATTTGTTCGGGCATGGATTTATTCATAAATGGCTGCTCTAAAATAATGTAGAAATAATGAGAACAATGGTGCATTTTTCCTTTAAAAAGAGGGACAGTGCACAGCTGTACAGGAATAGCTATTAAATCTGGAAGTGGTTAAAATTAATGTGCAAATTCTGAGCTTTTTTGAGGGACTTTGGACCCATGAGGTTTAAGAAGCTGCTAGTTTGATGCCCCTTATGAGTGTGTTTCCAAGACAGAGAGGGAGCCTAGTCTCCAGCTCAGTGCCCAGCTGCTTGTGCACTGGCATAGACTTAAACAAGTCAGCCAAAATGACAGTCTGGATTCAGTGGTAACTGAACTTCCATTAACATCTGTGCCCAGCACCCCATAAGGGACAATGCAACATCACTATCTGTGCAAGAACAGCCTCTCTCAGCCCTGCCTTAGGGGATGGTGTTGAAAGAGAAGCTCCAGGGGCCGTGCAGCTCCGAGGATGTATGCGCTGTGCAAGGTGTTTGCATTGCTCCTGTTCCTGTGTTGTATCGCTCCCCTGCGGTCGGGGTTAGGGTGAGGCAGTGGGACTGGAGGGGTCAGTAACGCGATGCACTCATTCTAGTGTCCACAGAGCTACGGGAATGCTTGGAAGAATGAAAATGGGCAGCATGAATATGGTTTTCTCTCCAACACGGGGTGTTCCGGGGGGAGTTGGTTTGGTTGAGGAACATGACATATATACTGATTATTATTATTTACGGAGAGAAAACTCGTATTAACCCATACATCTGGGCTCTGCACGTTGCTCTTTTTGTGGAAAGTCACAGGCCCCTTCCCCATTCCAGCCCGGGCCCCAGCTTTGCTAGGATGGGACGTGGGGGGACGTCTTCGCGGTGCCCTCCTCGCGTTACAGAGGCATCGCCCTCCTCGGGAAGCGCCGTGTGGGCTGGGGACAGTTCGGGGCCGATGAGGTGCGAGCGCTGTTCACTTCGTGCTTTGATCGCTCGGGTCTTTGGGAGGTCGGGGATGCTTTCTGGCTAGACAGGTGGCGCCAAGTTCAAGCTGAGAGGGCTCGCGGCACCGCCGAGCCCCAGCCCGGGTAAGAGCTCAACCCGGTGGTGAGGTTGTTTGTGGTCAGCGGCCCCCCAAATGCTTTTCCCAGGGTCCGCTCTGTCGGTGACGTGCCAGGCGGAGGAGCTGGCAGCCGGGAATCTCTCACCCCGCAGCCTTCCGTCGGGCCGGGCGCACTCGGTGCCGGGTACCGCGGTCGGAGAGGGAGAGGCTAAAAACCCCGCTGGTAGCGGCAATATCGGTATCTTTAAACGCTCCTTCGCGGGGCTGGGCCTGCCCGTGCCCTGCCCTCCGGGGGATAGGGGCAGGTTTGCACTTCAAGGGGGTTTCCCCGGCCCCGCAGACACGCTGGAGCCAGGGCCTTGTAGACATTTGCCAGACGTGTGAACTTTCTTCCTCGCTGGCAGCTGTTATCTCTGCTCGATTCCCACTTTGATGTGGCTTCACACTTGCAAACTAGCCCACTCGGGACTGGAGCGGGCTGTATAAGAGCTGATCGAAGCCGGCAGCCCCGGCCTCCTCACCGCCATGAGCCAGACCGACTTTCCCCTGGCAGAGCACAAATCCCATGGGGTGCGGCCCCACTTCTACTGCGTTCCCCCTCCCCGCGCCTCCACCCCGCACGGCCGCGGCCGCAACCCCCTACTGGCCAGGGCCGAGCCCCGACGGGGGAGTCCGCGGCCGGAACAGCCCTCGGCCTGCGAGCCCCCCTCGGACCGGCAGAGAGGGACCTGTCCCCAGGAGTCCAGCGAGCAGTGCCCTTCGGAGCCAGGTGGGTGAGAAGGGGGGGGAGGAGGAGAAGGGCGGGTGTGGTCGGGAACTCAACTCGTGTCGGTGCAACGGACGCGGTGGAGGCGGACCCCGGCTGGGGGAAAAGGCCTCACCGCCGCCTCTTCCATCCCTTCGGCAGCCCCTGACGGCGGATGGCTGAGTGCCGACGAGTCCTCGGGCTATGAGAGCGAGAGTGCCGGTGGGGAGCGCTCGGAAACGGAGGCGCCGTGCGGGAGCCGCGGGCGGCAGCGACGGACGCGGACCGCCTTCAGCTCGGAGCAGGTGTGCCGGCTGGAGAAGACCTTCCAGCGCCAGAAGTACCTGGGAGCCTCGGAGCGGAGGAAGCTGGCGGCCGCCCTGCAGCTCTCGGAGGTCCAGGTGGGTGCCGACTGTCTCGCATGACTGCGCTGAGACGATCCAGCGGTCTTCGGCTGGGTTCCGCTGTTTAATACCTAACAAGTTAGCTAGCCAGGCCTCTAAATGAATCAAGTTGTGTGTATCTTGCAAAGCTTATAGACGTTCTTAACGCCCTAAAGTGATTCATCCATAACCCGTCCGCACTCTGATCCTCCGTGGTTGATTAGCTCGGGCATCAGGCAATTGAAGCAAAGTGAGAATGGAAAGGTCCGGTGTACTGCCGTTGTTTGCACTTTGCACTTGTAAGCAAAGTACTGAACTGTTTCTTCCCCGCCGACCCTCCCTCCTGTTTCTTAGATCAAGACATGGTTTCAGAACAGGAGGATGAAACTGAAGAGGGAAATCCAGGACCAGCAGCACCTCGTGTCTCCTGCTCCGCTCTACAGCTTCCCCCCGGGAACCACCCCTCCAGCCCTCCTTCCCAATGAAGGCTTTCCGTTGTCTTTCCACTGTCCCTTTGCTCCACAGCATCAGAGACTCCTGCCTCTTCCCCCGTTGTCTGCAGTGCAGCTCAGCTTCTCCTTCCCCAGATACGATGCTTTGCAAAGCACCTACTGCTTCATGGCAAACGAGCTGCCGTACTACCATCAACACTTGCTTCCTCCTCATCCTTCTTTCCATCCAGTAATGCAGAATAAAATGGACAATAAATGCCATCCTGTGTACGCCTGATAGTGAAAACAAAACATGGCAGACAGAGAGAAAAAATTGATGAGTATAATGTATTAGTAGAGTGGTATAATGTATTATTTTCCACTCAGATGGATTTTTTTTCTGGTTTGTAATCTTATATGTTTATTTTTTAAGTTAATTGTAAAGAGTAATAACTTAATATTTGTACCAATTAGCATTAAAATTTATTGGATGCGGTGCCTCTCAGTTTTCTTTGTCTCACCTTTTTGAAAAGCTTTATTTTTTTTTCACCAAATACTTCTATCTTCCTTTGAATTCTACTTGTGCTGAAGATACCTTAAGCACAGCTGAAAGGCAAAATTATGCTATAGCTACGATGCACTTACACTTTCTGCCTACAGCTTTCATTTTGTGCTTGCAGCTGCTGAAAGGGAACTGAAGGAAGAAAAGCCAAAGCAGAAACTTGCATTTGCAAGATTTCTCACAGTGTAGGACAAAATTAAGTTTAGCTTGGACTGGAAATTGCACATCTCCAGTTTTCATATGTATATAAATTGATAGGTGTTACCTGTGCATAGTGTGTAAAGGTTTCACTTGTGAACTGCTCTTTGAATAATGGGGAAGAATTAAAATATTGCATGCATATTACCTGGCTTTCCTGCGGTCACGCTGAGAGGGATTCTGTATTTCGTTATGTTTGAGAGCCTGAGCCTTGCCAGCTGTATCGTACCGTGTTTGAGGCACAGCAAAGGAGGAAGATGAAGGTGAGTTTTTCTTCTGAATATTAATTGATGTATTGCTTTGCACTTCCAGTCCATTTTCCACCTGAGAGCTCCAACCATGTTAATCACAGATGTTCATTAAGCTGATGCATTTTTTTTTAACAGTGATTAAATAGTTCAAATGTTCAGTATAGAGTTCTAAAGTTTTACAATTACCAAAACCAGTATCTTGAAAAAGATTTAAGAGCATAATTAGAGTTCTGTTAATAGTCGTATTATCTAAATGAGATTTTAATCTGCAAATTTGGCCTTTGATTCCCCGCTGAATGCTCACGGTAATTGCATATTTTGAAACACTCTTTAGGTAAATTGATGCTTTTAGGAGAAGCAACATTTGAATGGAGCAGCTTTAGGTTTTTTGCTCTAACGATCCTGAAACTTCTTTTCCCTTTCCCATTAAGAAAAAGTGGTCGTTCTTAGGATCATGGTTTTTCACTCCTCTCCGGGAAGGGATTAATTAGCACTTTTCTTTTAGAATTTAATTAAGTTTATTCAGTTCTTCTAAGTGCATTTAAAAACTAGATTGATTGCTGCAATGTAGTCGGGGGCTGATGCAACAGCCTGGGGGCTCCTCACTTTTGAAATGATATCTAAACTTGATGCAGTCTTAACACTAAGAGGTGCAAGGCTGGCAGTGAACTTGCTGGTCAGCAGGGGGAAGGTCTGGAATTTACAGGGTAACAGTCCTAAGTTGCCATGCTGTGTTTTCTCTGGGTTGTACAACCTGTGTGCACAGTGGCAGATTAACGCACCTTCTGTCCCTTCAGCTCCCGGGCCTCATCTCAGAGCTGTTCTGGTGGGGCTGGGAGCAAAGAGGGGTGTGTGTGTATTGGGAGAGGGATCTCCTCTGAGTGACAAAGATGGGTAGTTCCCCTTCCACCCTGTAAGGTATGGGTGTTTTTTGACAGCATGGTTGGTGATTCAGGTTTGGGTTATTACACCAGAGGAAACAATCTGAACAGAAGGTAGGACTGTGGGTGGAAGTTTATCTCCTATTCCTCACCGTCCCTCGTTCTCTGCCATGAACTGTACATTCAGCTTTGCTCTCCTCAACCCCAAAACACAAGTGGTGGGGGTAGTGAAGAACAGCAGCATTGTACAATGGGGTTGTAGGCCGTGTTTGTTAACTTCTTTTTATTCATAACCTCTACCTCAAAAAGAGATATTCTATTGTTATTTTCATCGGACAATGCAAAGTAATTTAGCTTTCAGCTAGCAATCAGGTTAGGATGGTCAGGGGCAAGAGAGATGTAATCACACTTGCTGGTGTAGCTATACAATGATGCAGGGTGTGCTTCTCACTACTCCCTCCCTGCAGGCTTGAATCTGCCATTCTCTATAAAGCTTGCTTTGAGGATTTTAAGGAGCAGTCCAGAGTGTACCTGATGCAAGCCTAATGCTGAACTGCAGCTTGAAGTTATTGAATCTGCCAAGTTCAGCTGAAGCTGTAGATAGAACAACTATTTCATGTTTTGAGTGGTGTATTAGAACAAAACTTAGAAACAACTGGAGTTTTTACAACAGTAGATTTAAATTACAATCACATTTTGCACTGGCATAAAAAATATGATTGACAATTAATCCCTTAGCTTCCTCTTTTAAAATGCAGCTAAGTAAAGAGGAGGTGACTTTAGGGACTGTGCAAAATAGACAGATGAAATACAATATGAGGTAATTCGTGTTTGGCCACAGGGTTGACACCTATTGTGTCATTTTCATTTTAACTTGCTTGCTGTCATTGATGAGCCTTTCCTTAAAAGTCCCTAGTCATGTACTATGTTCTCCATATATTTCATGTAGCTACTGTATACATGAAAATGTAATAACTGCTCCCTTTTCTCAGAGAAGAGCCCCACACGATTATAGGCTGCTTTCTGAAAACAAACTTTGGGTAAAGTGTTTCAGTACAATGAACTGAAGGCTGTATAAGTTTCGAGTCTTCCACTCTCAGTGCTGTACCTGGAGGTTGTTTTTTTTTCTTTTTAACATTAGGGGAAAAAAGATGAAAAAAATAAGTCACCCATATATTTAATATAACTAAATAAATAATTACTCTTTAGATATTTGGCAGATTACAGATAATCTTTGTCATTGTTAATAAGAAGGTAGGTAGGGCTGGAATCTCAGTCCTTTGTGGTCGTTGGTTAAAGTCACAGCTGGGATCACAGCAGAGTATGCAGGCAGTGCTGGGCTTTGGGGAAGCAGCAAAGCTGTGCCTGGCAAAGCTGCCTGTGGGAGCTGAGCTGGAACAGTGGCCATCAGCAGGGATGGGCTGGGTCCTGCTGGGTGGAGAGGAGCACTGGGGGTAGAAGAAACACTGATATCCACCCCATGAAGGCAGCTGGGTGTCACTGTATCCGGATAACAGTGATAGGGCAGGAACAGGCCTGAGACAAGGGCTTCCACCCTGGCATCCTGCGTCTCGCGTTTAAATTTCATGCGGCGATTCTGAAACCAGGTTTTTATCTGGGGATAAGAAAGGAAAAGTCAAGAACAACCCCACTCCTCTCTGTTCCACTCAGTGATGTGCCCTGCCTAGCCGCCCTGCTCACCGACTTGCGGGGTAGCAGCTGCAAGACGTGGGGCTGATAAACGCTGCTCTGACGGTGTGGCGATTTGACCCACCTGCGGCTCAGGTGCGGCAGGGCTGATTCTGTTCTCAGTGGGATCCCGCAACGCCACCGCGTGTATGCATCGTTTTAAGAGAAAGACGGCCAGAAATCTGATATTTATGAATCAGTACAAACCTATACAACCCCGCCAACCGAAGCGAGGATGCCGACACCCCGCAGTTCTATGTGGCGGAGCCGGCCGCGGACCCGCCCCTCCCCTCTCCTCCCTCCGTCCCCACGCCCGCTCACCTGGCTCTGCGAGAGGTCCAGAGCCGCAGCCAGCCGCCTCTTCTCGCTGGCGCCGATGTAGCGCTGCTCGCGGAAGCTCCGCTCGAGCTCCTGCAGCTGCGCCGCCGAAAATTTGGTGCGGGACCGCGCGCCGCCTCCCGCCTCCACCTCGTGCTCGGGGCCGCGCCGTCGCGGGGCCGCGTGTGCTGCGGGAAGGGAGAGCGGCGTCGGAGGGGCGGTGAGGCGGGCAGAGCCGCACGTGCCGCTGTTGTTCTCCCGACGGCCGGCAGCAGCGGTCCCGCCGCGCGCCCCGCACTCCCCCTGAGCTGCGCTGTTATCCCCGCCGCGGCTGCTCTGCGCCAACCACTCCACGGAGAAGCGGCCCTTCTCCATGATGGTGGGGCTTTCCCCGTTCTCTGAAACCGTCCCGGTACTGGGGGCAAACATTTAAAGCGTTTTCCGCGGCGCGGCTCTCCGAGCATCAAATGAGGCCGAGAACAAAGGACCCCGTTGAGAGGCCTTTAATCTCCCTCTCAGGTGATTGTTACATCCGCCTAATCTCTGAGCGCCGCAGTTAGCGGGGCTCAAGGCTGCCTGACCTGGCGCCAAGTTCAGCCCTGAGTCACCCCCTGGCCGCACAGCTCTGATAACCGCATCGCGGCCTGCGATGGCCCTTATGCCCCCGACTCCAACCACATCGCGATTTTCAGTCTTTTTCATCCTGGGATGAAGGATGAGGATTTGGAAGGGGATGATGACGATGGACGGAGGGCTCTTTTGTGAGAGCTCACCCCAGAATTGGAGCTCTTCTAACCCGCTTGGAGGAATCCAATCCAATCCTCTGCTTGGAGGAAGCCTTTCTATCAGCAAAGCGATCTGAGGTATGAATAAATACTCTTTGGGCTTAGAAACAAGGGAAAAATATGAAGTTCTGGTATCTCCCCATGATCTGGTATCTCCCCTACAAGCAACGTGCTGCTCTTTGTTAGCTCAGGGTGCACTGGTGCTGTTTGAACTTGGAGCATTTCACTGCTGCCTCTGAGGATGAGGGCTGAGATAAGGGCTTTCTCTGTGCTCTGAAGTGCACGGTGCAGTTGCTGACCTGTGTTTGTGTGGTATCCAAATCATAAAGAAGTTTTCGCAGCGGGAAGAGTCGCAAGTAGGTTGCAGGGGCGTTAGCATGTTGGTTAGGTCATCTGTTAGAAATCAAGGTGGGAAGTTCTAAGTCCTCTAATAATGAGTAGAACAAGTTAATTCTTATGAATTCATTTAACACTAGGACTGGGCAGTGAAATTATGCTTCAGGATGTTGGACGAGAAAGGCTAAGAAAATGACCAGTTGGCTTGAAATACATCCGTTCATGTCTTAAAACATCTCCTTTCCCCACACCCTAAGAAATGTGTGCATTTCAAAGTAAACAGTTCTGATGTTTTTATAAAGTAGATCAAAGAAGAGGAGTGTAAACTCTGTTCAGAGGCAGTCTGTTGGAGGATGATTCAGATAAGGGTGAGAAAAGAACCTCTTTTACGGTCTGAAGTGGGCTTGGGATGGCACAGTCCTTATCCTCTGCAAACACGGGCTAACACATTTACAGGTTGTTTCAGTAAACAGCCGCCATTGCTTGAGTTTATACAGCCAGAGATAATGAACTAGCTTTCACACAGAGCCGAACGTGTTTGAGACATCATGTTAATTTGGAGACTTCAAAGAAACCCGTGTCACGGCGAAGTATTTGCAGAGTGCTGGCAAAAGTCAAATAATGCCACCTTTCGGGCTGTTTTCCTTTAAGGCTGTCTATATTTTCTGAGGCAATCGTGGTTTTCTTTTTCCTCTCATAAAATGCAGAAGGAATTACGTGCCCTTTTGCTTTGAGTGCTGAAAGCCGACCAGGCGTTTTTAGAAGCTGCCTTGAGCGTGCTTCATACATATGTCCGCAGATCTTTTGTTCTCCTTGTTAATGAGAAGAGTTCTCTTGAATGTCAAGTTGGGAGCTTTGCTTCTCTCTCTCTCTCTCTCTTTTTTATGTCTTTTTTTTTTTTTTTTTCCTAAAGAGGTCCCCCACCCACAGCAATCTCTTAAACACTACCAAGATGCAAGTTACAACTTGTATCTGTGCCTTTGAATGAAGAAAAACAATCAAAACCCAGAGAAATTTGGAGGAGGAGACTGTTGCTAAGTCTTTGATGACAATGAGTCATAAGTACATTCAGAATGATTGGTCTGAAATGGACCATTACAGTTTTAGTTAGCTTGGTTCCTAGTTCTATAAACAACTGTAGAATTATAGGCATGTAATAAGTCAGTTAATCGTAAAAATGTGTGGTTGAATCTGTTGATCAGAAAGTTTACTGTATGGAGAGCAGAACTTACAGTGCTGTTTAGAAACCTGTGTGTTAGTCCTGAAAAAAATGAGTTTTGTTGGGAAAAATTATAAAGACAGTCAACTTCTTAAGTGAATCATTACAATGCATTTAGCGTTACAGATAACATCTAATCACAAGGGGCAGTAAAACATCATTCCTTTATGTTATTGTTTCTACTTGTTAATTATTATTGTGCTGATGCTAGTAGATGAACAACAAAGGGGAGTTCAGCTATGATGGCAGCTCTAAAATTTGCATTTTATTGTTAATGTGGAGCTTAGTGTGCTTTGTTTTATTTCTGTAGTGATTGATGTTACTTATTTATTTATTTTACCCGACCAGATTGGAAGAATTGCCCTTACAGCTTTTGGGAGAAAAGCTTTAGTTTCAAAAGGCACAGGGAATCAATATATAATTTTTGTACTTATTACATTAATTTGATTCATGAAAGGATTAAAGGCCTCTAATGCTTTCTCTTTTTTTTTTTCTTCTTGAGACCAAATTACTTAAGAAAATCTTTGTGCTTAAGAAGCTAGGAGTAGAAGTTTCCACCTTGTCCAGCATATACTGAAAACCAAATATCTTTTTGAGAAGTAGGGAGAAAAGTAATCTCAAATTTTCCATCTGCTCTTAGGGAAGCATCACACAGACTTGGATCAGAATTACTTTTGAGAACTGCTGCTGAGGATAATGCATTTGCTTTTAAAATAATACAAGTATTTTTAATTTATAGTTGTAAGTAGCGTAATATAGACATACTGTGCTGCTTCTTAGACAGTACAACATATTGGAAACGCTATTTTTTGCCTTGGTATAATTGTTAGCAGAAGACCATGTTCTAACATGAGGTGGCTGTGGTGGATGTCCTAGATTTAAATACTGGCCCATTTCTTGTAAACAGAAGTGAGGTCGTAACATCAAAGCTTTATTGTGATATCATGTGACTGCCCTATAAAAGATGTTTAGTGTTCTCCTATGTTATAATCTCAGTGTTAAAACAAAATAAAAAAACTAAACCAAAACCATTTTTTATTCAACACCATCGTATATCTATAATATCTTTTTGCCATTTGATACTGCCATTGATATTATACCTTTTTTGTTTGTTTGTTTTTGTTTTCGCTTCATCTGCAGAGCAAAACTAAACAGGGACTTCAGCAAAACTAGACGAAGGCACACACGTGGCTATGAAAGTTATAAACATGAGAATGAGTCATGTTTTAAGAGACTAATGCTGTTCGTGCTTTGTGTGTGTTATGACAGTGATTTAACTGAGGCGCAGAGCGTAGTTTAAAGCGTCCCTCACACCCTTCAAAGGATTCTGATGGAGTAATTGCAAGGCTGTAAGTGAACACCACGCGAGGGCAATTACAATTTAAAGGGTCATTGCTGCGTGTTCCTACTTAGCAATTATCACTCAGTAGATCTTGTGGTGAAACGCCCATCTGGTCTTTCATTGATTGTTAGCCCTTTCTATGATTACCTAGAGGACAGAAAGCACAATGACCTGTTTCTTATAGGCTAGAGAGGTGTACTGGAGGAGTAACTGCTCCATATCTTAGGCTGTGAAATACTGATAACCTTTCATGACTGAATTTTCTGGCTTGCTTTTGGTTATTTCAGTGCACTGTCTTATAGTAATTAATGCGTTTTAGTTATTGCCTCAGTTGTGAAGAAAAGCAATAGCTGTTCAGCATTGGTTTGGTTATGGAAAATATTAATGTGTAGCAGCTGGGTTTTTTTGTCAGTATGCTAGCAGTGAAGGTATCTACATAATGAAGTGCACCGAGGATTAATTCAATCATTTGAAAAAATTCCAAGGACACTCATTCATTTCTACCTTGAATGAAGGATGCTCTCAGCTAAATGACACGTTTTCAGTAGAACTAGCAGCTCTGCTGTTGAAGGGAGATGTTTCCCTTACCTACGTGCATTTTCCTACATGCACTTCTGGTCTGTTAAGAGTCTGCTTAGGTTTAGCTAGTAATAAACAAATGGAAAAGAAAAAATCAGGTGCCTTTTTAACAACTGTGAGAGCTAAACCCAAAAGTCTGGATGAGCTCCACAGCCTGTACAGAGAAATGCTTGGACTAAGGAAGAGATAGAAATGGGCTGATTCCTATTAGTAGTGAACAGTACTTGTGCTTTTGATAGATGAACAGTTTTTACATTCAGGAGGTCAGTATAGCTGTTCTTTTTGTCCAGATGGAGAGACTAAGATAAGAAGTACTTTGTTTACAGTCGAAGTGGTGATGTTCAGAGTTACATTCAAGTAAAAAGTTCTATTGGAAATTGATAACTGTTACATAGCTATATTCATGTTTACATGGAAGGATTCTATAAAGCTATGTAATTAAAATTGTAGATTTAACTCAATGTCAGTGACATTCACCCTTTAATTAGCTATAGGCATTTAGTTTTTCATACAAGCTAAATGCATCTAATTGCCAGTGATCAAAGATAATCCTATCCATTTTAATCCAGCCGTCTCCTATGTATTGAATTGTTCATCTTACACAAAATTTTGCCACCTCAGAAAATAGAGCTGGCAAAAATGTATTTACCTGGGGAACACTGCTTTTGCTAACAGGTAATCAACTAACCTCTGTAGGATCATCACTTAGAAAGCTTGTGAAATGTTTAAAGAAGCTCTCTGAAACATCGTCTCCACTTTTAGGTACGTTCAAAAAAGCAAATAAAATTATTATAGGTTACTTAAAAAGAAAAAAAAAAGAACTAAAGTATATATGCTATTTTTGTGTATCGCAGAAAAATATTTTGGATCTATACTTATGTTTGTTGAAGTAGTGTTTTAAAGGCAGTGTTTGGAATTCTTAGCTACTTCTTCCCTGAGAGAGTGGTCGGGCATTGGCACAGGCTGCCCAGGGTGGTGGTGGAGTCACCGTCCCTGGAGGTGTTCGAGAAATGTTTAGATGTTGTACTGAGGGACATGGTTTAATGGGAAATATTGGTGGTGGGTGGATGGTTGGGCTGGATGATCTCAGAGGTCTTTTCCAACCTTGGTAATTCTATGATTCTATAAGACAGTATGGTTTGATATCTTAATTTCTAGAGTGACTCTATTTTGTAGGACTGCTGTGCAGATGCATATGTAACACAATGGTAATTAAGACATGATTTTTTTTTGAGGATTACTTTCACTTCATAGTTTTCTCTTTGCCATTTGACTTTATAGTATGTTTTCTATTCTTTGCTGCTGTACTTCAGAATGAATGATGCTTGCATTGTGAAGGACCTTTTATGACAGTGCTGAATTGCATCACTCTGAGCACTTCACAGTACTTAAAGCAGAATCTGCTAATGGGCTAAACACAAGCACTTCCATGTGTTATTAACTGCATTTATATACTACAATTCAGCAATAGTTAAGTAGTAGCCTAGTTTTAACAGTGTATTGTGCTCCTGTAAAGGGATGGTCTGTTCTTGCTTTCAAGCTCCTTCTGACATTGGGTGATGTTTTTCTTGTGTAAGAGATATCATGTAATAATGAAAAAAAAAAATAGAAACATACTATTTGGAATTAAAATTGAAACAGTGCTCAATCTGAATTTAAACCTGCCCCCTACCCTGACATAATATGAGACCAAAAATTAAACAAATATTCTTGCATTTTTCTTATTTAAAAAAAAAAATGACCTCCTCACACAGGAAGTTTGAGCTCGACAGAAGAAATAAGTTATCAGAAGTTGTTTGATATGTAATTACTATTTCTCTGTTTTGAGATTTTCCTTTCTGCTTTCCCTTCACTTGCTGAACACCTTTCTAAACCTATGGCTGACAAAGCTTTGATCCTGTAGAATGAAGGACACTGAAGGAGTAAAAAAAATGTATAGGACTAGGAGTACTGAGTTCAGGCTGCATTGTAATACACGTGTCATATGAGATGGAATTAAGTTCGTACAAACAGTTCTGTGTTTTGTTTTGTTTTTGTTTTAAACTTGTTAGCTCTTAGTTTGCTCAAGCATTTTAAAGATTTATTAAGAACAAGACAAACAACAAAAAACCAACGTGGGCGTGTATCAAAGCTCACAACATTTTGGTAATGGAAATAATTTTGTTATTCTGAGTTCTGGAGGGGGCTGTATTACAGAAACAGCAACTTCATAAACAGAAGCGGGCAGAAACAACACGATGGTCAAGGGCGTTCCCTCCTCTGTCTCCTCATATGCTTCACAAAAGCCCAATCCTTTATTTTCTACATTTCTGCTTTCATAAACCCAATCTCTCCTGGTTTGTCGCGCTCTATCCCTCACTTCTCATCTTATTATAACTTCTTCCTCCTTGCCGTACCTACCTGGGATCTGTCAGCAGGGGGAGCGCTGAGAACGCGGCAGAGACGCTCTGTTCAACGGGCTGAAGTGCGAAAAGTGCTGCCCGGCCCGTGCACCTCTCAGCTGGAGCTGAGGTGATGTGACAGAGAGAAAAATACCGAGTTCTCATCGTGTTGTCTATGGAAAACTAGTGTGAAGTCTAATTGTTATGACTTAGATTTTTGAGGGGAGTACATTTGGGACTTTAGAAAGTGAGATAAATTTTCCAAGAGGCAAAGAACAGATATACACCATAATACTTCTTTATGAATGTTGAGTCCAGGTATTAAGGATGGGAAGAATTATAGTTCATCAATTAAATTGTTACACCATGCAGTAAAAAATAGATCAGTCCCAAATTGAGATATGATAAGTAGGATGTTGTGGTAGGCTTTTTTCCCTATGTACGTATGTGTAAAGATTCTCCCTTCACTGCAGTTTTTCAGTGTAAATACAAAGTTAACAGAGGGAAAAAAAAAATTTTTTTTCTAACTTAACTTTTGACTTTATGGATTTATTTAAGAGTTCACTGGGGGTCAGAAAACTGATGCATGGTGAGAAAGAGGAGGAAGTGGAAAGAGGAGGAAGGGGTACAGGACTTTTCAGGAATATTGATCTCATCAGTTCTTCATATGGATCCTTTCATTCTTGTTTACTCACTGAGTAATTGTACTGAGATTGATGGTTTTTATATTTTCAGGGGGAAAAAAAGAAAAATGTGTTATGTGAATGCTGGAACATGAATTTGAGGTCTGAGCTTTAGCTTAAAATCAACCTTGATGTTCAAAGTAGTATGTTGTAGGTAAAAATGTTTTTAGTTGCAAAATGCAGCTTTCAGAAATACTTTGCTTTCCCACTCTCTCTTACGCCTGTGCTGACAGTCATTCTCACTACCTGTATCATTACCTGCCTCTACACTTATCTCTGCAGAAAAATTATACTTATTCATGTCAGCATATTTTTGAAAGCAGCAGAGATGAACTGATATTTCCTTCTAGCTAAGTTTGGCACTTTTTGCTCAGGCAAATCTGATGTGGGCTTTTGTGTGTGAGTATAGAGGAAATGTAAACATTCTTTTTTTTTTTTCTTCTCAAATTGCAATTTCAAAGATATTCCTTTTCATAAATTGTGCCCCTTCAAAATAAGCAGCTTCTCTTCCTCCATTGTGGTAATGCATCACTTTATCTGGAAGATACATTGGATCAGGTACTTGACTTGGCTGAAAAAAAAGTACTGCAGAATTCTTTGTTCTACTTTTTTGGCCTCACTAGTACTCTGATCTAGGTGAAAGCACAGATAAAATGGGGTAAAGGCAGGAATAGGGAGTCATGGGAACTTCAGAAGTGCTCATGTAATACTCATTGTTACCAAATACGAGGGTTTGATTTTTGAAATAGACATTATTTCCAGTCTTGTAAAACTGTTGCAAGCAGTGAAAATGAAAAACTTTATGAGTTTAATGTAGGCTGACTTCTGAGTGGGCTTTTGTTAGGTTGTTTCTTATATATATTAAAATGCTTCAGGTATAAATAAAGCCCAAAGTGTTAATCAGTGTCTCCCATTCCTATATATGCAAAATACAGAAAGGGAAAAGGGACAAATAAATAAAAGGTTAGTTATAATCTGGAAAATACACAAAAGAGCTAAATATTTGCTTAAAAAAATAATAATCAAGTATTCCTACAGGTATCATGCTACATAGAATAACTGTAACTGCAGTATTATGCTTTATTATGATTTAGCCTTTTGTATATGTGCTGTATATTTGGTGTCATTAGCTACGTCACATATTTATTGGCAGTTCAAAATTGGGTGTCTGAAGTGATTTTCATGTGTAGAAATGATGAATAGCATGTAGTCCTGCAAGGAACATCTTGCCCAAGGAGGTTGTGGATGCCCCATCTCTGAATGCATTCAAGGCCAGGCTGGATGTGGCTCTGGGCAGCCTGGTCCAGTAGTTGACAACCCTGCACATAGCAGGGGTGTTGAAACTCGATGATCATTGTGGACCTTTTCAACCCAGGCCATTCTATGATTTTATGATTTGTTTGTCCCTACTGAGTGATTTCTCTTGATATTGGGGATGTGCCTACATTTGCACTGTTAATTGAACTGATAATTTTGGTAATTTATTTTTGTAAATTTATAATTTCTAATTTTAAACTCTTCTCTGCTGTTATTTGCTTTTACATCTTGTTTCAGAATTGGGACTTACAGTATTTTAAAAAAGTTTCAAGTATCACATCGAAGTACAAGCTGATACTATATATTTGTCCATAATATATCTGCAAAACATCGAGTTAAAAATCAATGCAACCTACAATACTGAAACAAATCTTGTTTCAGATGAGATAAATGGAAAAAAAAAAAAATCTATTACACATTACAGAATAGAGAGGAACATTTGTACAGCATATTAGAGTGAAGCCTGGCATAATTATGTTCCAGTCACTGCAATGGAAAATGTTGGTGTTTATTATAATGCAACCAAAGGTTATTTTGAGGGATTTTTAAAATATATATATATATATATATATATATAAATAGAATTGTATTATTGTGATCATGTTTCTGCTGATAGAAAACTGCGCAAGCTCTGTAGAGAAAAGTTGAACGTAAAATTACTTTTAAACCATAAATGAGTGAATTGTATTAGTTTTCTTCTTTTAGTGGAGGTAAATTTGAAATGATCTAGAATAAGAAATATCAAAAGACTATTAGTCCTTTGCAACTCAGTGCTTCCCTCTTCATGGAGCTGATTCAGCATCAGTGTTCACCATGGTATTGACTAATACCTTGTTTTTTATTTTAGTATCAGATATTTTATATTCATATCAGTAGATGGAGGTAGTGTGTCCAAACTTCCCCCCCTTTCCCTCCCCTTCTCCCCCAGCTTCTGTTCCTGGAAGGTTTATAGGTTGAATTTATATATTATGTGAAATGTATTCAAGGTAAAATGTATCCTCTGTAATGCAATTTAATGTTTTATTTTATGGTTAGATTTAAGTTATATGGTGCTTCCCCCCAGTTTATTTACATTTTATCTTGTTTTATGTGCCTTTTTTCCACCTTTATTTGTAGTAATTCTGCAGGTTTCACTTGATTCTGATTAGCAGATTTAGTGTTTATTTATGTGAAAAAAAGCCTTCCATTCTTTATAAAGAATATTATAACATCTTAAGATATTTATTTCATCTAGAATAATATGGCACAATAATAAGCAAGCAAAATGGCTGGTAGTGTACATAGTATTACCTTCTCCATGCATGGAGTTTTGCAAACTTTTTTAGGATTTGTGGTATAGGGTAACACAAACTTCTGAACAGTGTATGAAACTTTAGCTTTTTATTTGACACACAGTATATTCAATTACATGGTTTCATAATATTTTTTACAGAACTGATATGATATATCTCTTTTTAGACTAAACAAAATAAACTGAACAGAAATATAATAAAACATTAACAGGAAAATAAAAATCTCCAGTTCCTCTTGAAAGATACCTGTGAATAAAAAAAAGAGAAAAAATTAGTATGCTTAGTACTTGACTTACTATTTACCAAGTGTCTGTTTTAACTAGTAAGAGTTTACAAGCTGGCATAATATGAGGTACTTAGAATCTTGTAGGATTGGGTCCTAAGAATAACCAGTACGTTGTAGACACCCAACCTGGATAACATACACATGACAGAACCTACACGACCAAGGCTCCATGCCCCGACTTGCAGTGCAGTCCGTGAAGACTGAGTCCAAGAGAGGTTTGGTGTTGCACTTTTGCCGTCTGTGACTCTGTTCCCCTTACTTCTGAAGGCTTATGGGAATAACAAATTCAGAAATATTAGCAATGCATTTACTACAGATAAACAGTTCACCGAGCAGTATGTTAAATAGTTGGGTAGATACTTAAAGTACTATTCTCTCACAGAATTAAATGACAATGAATTACAAATGAGGTTAAATAATACCACTACCTTGTGTTCATTTTTTGATGGTGAAGTGAGTGTTACATAAACTAACCTTTCATTTCTTCGTATGTCCATTTCCTCCATTTCAACAGTCATCTCAACAGCGCTGTTTGGAACGAATGGCGAAGTACCTCAGTCGCCCCATTTTCCCATGCACTATGCCTCTTTAGATCAAACTCTCAAAGAAGTATATGCATAGGAAAAAGGAACAACGAGCCAAATCAAGATGTGGCGAGGGTATAAAGAATAAACCTGTAATAAAAAATGCAGAGATTAATAAGAATTGAAACCAAATGTATTTTTGAAGCGCATTTCTTTTTGTTTGTTTGTTTTTTGACTCAGTACTACAGAGTTGTTAAAAGATAGTCAAGGCTAGAACCGAGGTTAAAGCACGAAACAAATAACTTTAATCCCTGGGGATCAACAGGGACTTCACAGTATTTAGTATGTTAAAAATTCAGTGTAATTTCCTTTTCTGAAATACATACAAGAAAATGAAGCTCCCGGAAAGAAGAAATGTAGTCATTTTCGTAGCAGGGATCAGAAGCAGAATCATAAATCAGTAAAAGCACACTGTCTTCTTTTAATGAAGTTGGAACTGCTGCGCAGTATTTAGGACTTGGATTTAAAGGCTGCAAAAATATGTGTTAGAATTACCCACTGAATATATGAAAGGAGAAAAAAAGAGTTATATATTGCAAAATACTGAAAAATTAACCCTGAAACAAAAGAAAGACGTACCTGTTTAGCTGTCTGATGCTGGGACTGCAATAGCTTCGTTTTCATGAGAATTTATGCCTTGCTCAAGACCTTGAAGAAATATGAACAATACGATGTAACTGTTTTCGTAAGTGATAATCCATTTGCCCCTTGCCAAGGTCTTTGCTGCACCTGCAGATTGGGTGCACAAAAAGCACTGTTTTGTAGAACTTCTGAAAACTTGAGAAGTATCATTCATATGTTGGGGGAGGTAAAAAAAAAAATGGGAGTGCAGCAGACAACCGGACTGATAGGAATAATTGAAGTGATGACTTGAAATGTGCGCTGAGAATGAAAATTTATCGTCTGTTTTCTTTCACATACGTCAATGGTTTGGAAAATGTAAATCTGGGAGAGGACTTCTTGTTCTGAAATGCTGTGCTGCATTTTCCGTCTACTACCCCCCTTCTTTCAGAGCAAAGTTTTTTTTTGAGAATCTCTATCAATGTCCTTCACTGAAATACAACTTTACTAAGGAGATATCAAGGCCTGTGTACAAGGCTTTCCTCTCCTTATCCAGGCACCAGTGAGGCTCCCTGCTGGATGCCAAGGCTGGGAAATATCTTTCACCGTATTTAATCCTATTTTTTTTTTTTTAACAAATTCTTCAACCATGTGCTTTCAAGGCGCTGTCTTTCTTTTAGGATCTTTGTTATGATACAACACTTGATTGACTACATAAAGGTTTTATGAATTAGGAGAAATCTGTAGAGATCAGCTTAAATTGTTTGGAATTGATTCAGGTTAATTCAAAATACTTCAGTGCCACATGTAGCAGCAGTGCTGTTACATGCTAGTGATTATGCATAAGTTTGGACAATCCCAAAATTCATTACATCTACTCTTTCAGCGTTAGATTTTTTTTTCTCATTAGACTCCTGGTCTTCATTTTGTAATCTCAGGTTCAGTTTGTTCATTTTTGACATGACAAACAGTCACTGCAATCTGTCCTGTGTACAGTGCCTTGGAATAAAAAGATATATATGTTTTTTTTTTTTTTGTGGTGTATTTTTCCTTAAATTTTTATGAAAGATGTAACTGATTTTTTTGGTTTTTCTTCAGAGGAACTCTGTGTTTCTGGACTGAAGCAATCCTACTTGTGTTTCAAAGAAAGTGTTTTGTGCTATATAATATGAAATGCTTGCTTCAGCTGTGTTATGCTTTCAGGCTTTAATCAGGCAGTTATATGACTGGGAAAGAGAAAACCTATCCTGCAGAAACATGGAATTTTCACATCAACTTTAGAAGATTGAGCACTAAATTGCTGGGTCAGCAGCTGGCCCATAGGCAGTGTTTAATCATGAGTTCTAGGCCATCTAATGCAGAGTGAGCACCTTAAGAAACATGAAGTATTATGTTTCGAAATAAGCTTGTACACAAAGTTTTGATAAGGGCTGTATCCACAGAAGTCCTTAATGAAATCTGGAGTGAGGCATGTCAGTTCCATCACTATGAATTAGAGTGGCAGTACAGATGTGTTCTCACTGAGTGTAGTAAGATTCTTGTGTGTGAAGTTACCTATTGATTGGAAAATAGCTGGTACAGCCAGTAGGTAATTTAATGGTCTCTCAGGAACACAATGAAAGTGCATTTGATTTGAATTGCAGAATTAGACCTTCAGTAAGTGATGCATTTTATTCTGAGAGGTGAATAGAGCAGGCATATTTGAAATTGTAGATTAAAAAATGACAAGAATACATTTGTCAGTCTTTTGCCTTTGATGCTGAATACAAAGAGGTGATCTGATCCCTTTTAGCCTTGGTACATGATTTCTGAAATTCCCTCCATTAAGGCTTTCTTCTGACAGGAAGAATATCTACAGCTACTGTAAAATAGTGTTGCCTGAAATTCTAATGTGTCCAAGGGTTGATGATGTAAATATTTTACAAATTTGATGTGTAATTTGGTATAATAAACGTTTGTACCTTTTTGTATGAAAAGATCCATGCAAACTTCAGTTCATGCATATATGTGAGTAAAACTGTGGATTGTGGCTATAAGCTGATTGTTTTTTATTAATTATTTTTATTAAGTGCAGCTGAATTGTGCAGAATGATGTATCTTAGTGAATAGCTTTTGTTTCAATACTCTCTGAGCAGTTAATGAGACTCAAAGTACCAGCTATCTTGTAATGTACATTCAAAACGGCAGATTTTAGTACTTGTAAAGATCTGGAACCCTTTTTTTCATCAGCTTACTCAAAAATTCTCTCTTAGATTTTGTTTTAAATGATGCAAAAGGAAGGTTTTATTTCATTTATGAGTGGTTGTGTGTCTGTACAGGTTTGCTTATGGGCCTCAGGATGTGTTTTTCATTTCTTCCCCCTTTTTCCCTCCCCCCCTTTGGGCTTGTATTATTTATAGCGCTTTTTGTAGAATCTTAATTCGTAAGGTTTCATGCTCTGTGGGAGCAAGGATGAAGTATATTGAAAAAAGTTTCACTTTAAAATTGTGAATGTTAAAGTGTAAAAATATCTCAGGGTTGGGGAGGGGAATTTTTCTTACAGAGTTTGATTAGATATTGTCAAATCTACATTTTTCAATCAATAGTTTTGTGTAAATTAAGACTACCTGCAGTGATGTAGAGCTATTTGGCTTTGAGTTGCTTTTTGTAGCTCCCTGAAAACACGGAAGTACTGTGCTGTTATAATCAGCTTGCGTAATTTCTAATGTGAAGACCTGAATGTACAATGCCTTGTTATAGGTGAGGGCTGGCACAAGTTTCTACTTGTAACATAAATTCTCAGTGGAACATGCAAGCAAAAGGTGAAGAAAGTTTGTGCTGAGTTTCCTTCTTGCTCATTTTAAGTAAAATAATAAGATGTGTGGTACACCAAGCAGGCAGGTCACGTTATGCAGGGGTTTACTTTTACACAGAGTGACTAACAGGATAAAGAGAGTTCTGTGTTCCAGGACAGTGGGCTACTAGAATATCTGTCTTGTAAATTCTCGGTATGTGAATTCTGGCCTGTCAGTATCTGGTTCCTCCACAAAGCCCAAATATTGGATTGTCAAGGATAAACCAAAGTCTCTTCTGTTTGACTGTTCCTTTTCCAAAATGAAATAAATAAATGCATCAGCTCTCCATTTATTATTGAGAGATGATTAACTAACTCGTTGTCCTCAAATTAACAGGATCACACAAATACTAGCATTGTCTTTTGAATAGCCCAACGCTGAAAACAGCTGCAAATCTGGCATTTATACCTTGATATGTAAACTCTCCCTTTTCATGTTTGTGCAACAAGTGTACTATTTTACAATGAACCTGGAAGTCATTCCATGTGGGGCAATGCTGGCTATTTTTGTGATGTCAACCTGTGATGTCTTATTTTTCTTATGTTAAGAAATGCTTTCATTTCTATTTTCACTTTTTCAGTGAAGTCCCAACAGAACAATATTCCTTCTTTAGCATTGGATATTATTCAAATGTTTATTAATATGTTGTCCTAAGTAGGGCAAAACATCAAGTATAAGAAAATTATTTTGAAGACTTTTTTTTTTTTTGTATTCTTCCCTGTCATGCAAAAGAAGAACAGCCTCTTTTACTTTGAAGTACTTTCATACATAATCAGCACCTATACCAGTCTCCCTTCGTTCACTACTGAGAACTTTGTGCTTCTGATGAATCAAAGATGACAATGTTCACTGCTACCTTTTCAAATGAGATTCTTTGGCTTTCTACTTTACAACATGTTTTTACTTACATGTTTAAAATCTTTTGATTAGCTTTCTAGAAATCTTCTGTTATAATTCACCTTTTGCCATGGTACAGTAACTTTCTTGACAGGTTGCTGTTGCTGTGGGGCTGATCACATTGCTCATTGTGCTGACTAATTAGTCAGAACTAATTTGTGATGCCAATTGTCTCACTGTTTTCACCTACTCCCTGACTTCTGTTTTTTACTTAGCTACGTGGACAAGAATTCTTTATTCTCTTACGGGCATAACAGAATATACTCAGGTTCTATGATCAGGGCTTTAATAATTAAGGTAGTGATGAATTCCACTCAGTGAAACTGGAGCTCTGCATTTCCCTGCATATTTCATACACAATAAATAAATAAAAATAGTTAGGCCCTTAAACAGCCTTGGTGGAGCTGCCAGGGTCTGTACAGATAAAACTGCTAAATTTGAATTATGGCCCCGTGAAGTTAATAAATTTTTAATTTGTTCTGTCATACAGTAGGCTGGACTAACACAAGTAATTAATTTGAAGTAAATATTACAATGGAACACACAAATGTGCTGTTGATGTGCATGTTATTTATATCTGATGTTGCTTTGGAAGTTTTGCATGGTAATGCTCTGCTCATGTTGAAATTCTTAATGAGTATAAATTATTTCACTATTCAGTGTGTAAAGTTTTAGATGCTTTGCTAAGAGCAGGACCTTTGCTGTTAAATTTAGGAAAATATACTGAAAGCATAAAAGCAGGTGGTGATTCTTGCAAAAATGTTGCATAAAATCTGATTATATAAGCAAGAGAGAATGAGATTTCTGGTTTGAAAATATCAAATTATAATAACTCTGTCACTAGATATATTATGATGTACTTTTTTATTAAATTGTTTTAAAATGAAGACTGTGCTCAGATAGTTGGAGTGTAAGTATTAAAAATATGCTATTAAAATGAATTGTGATGATCAAACATGTTGGAAAGAAAGTTTGCATTCTTTGTGTCTGAAAGAATGAAGTTGGCAAGCCTGCTAACTGCTAAAAGAATGCAATATATTGTAGCTGACCTTCAAAATTCTTTTCCTGGGCCGAGTAGCATGAGCAAAGTTGATTGTTTGCAAACTGTAGGAAAAAAAAAGTAATGAAACTAAACCATAATAAGCTCATATTTGGAGATCTGTACAGCATTCACTGAAATCAAATTTGATCTGCAAATCAAAGCAGAAACTGAACTTAATCAAATGGTTTCATTAGAAATTCAACACACCTAATAATATTTCTTTTTTAAGTAAGGTTTTGTACCTGAGCATTTCCATGTTCCACTCTATAGTTATTAATGCAAAGGAAAATTTTTCTACCTCTCATTGTCCCTGCTGTTCTTTTTGAGGAGAACTCTTTCTCACTCTTCTGGATATTTTGATGTCTTCCCTTTCCCCTCTTCCTCAAATGTGGCTTTTACTTTTTTTTCTTTTTTTTTCTTTTTAATAAACACTGTGAAATTATACTTAGCTATGTGCTTGTAAGGGTGGTCTATATTTAGAACTTGAACAAATGCATTTACAATGTCAAATAGATGGAGTAGAGCTGCTTTTGAACTGCAGATCACTGTTTTACCAGGTTGCCAGCTCAGCTTTCTTGAAGGTAAAATAAAAACATTTGGGTACAA